CTTTGAGATTATAGAGTTCAAGTTGTCTGCGATCTTTGAGATTATAGAGATCAAGTTGTCTGCGAATTTTGAGATTATAGAGATCAAGTTGTCTGCGAATTTTGAGATTATAGAGATCAAGTTGTCTGCAATCTTTGAGATTATAGAGTTCAAGTTGTCTGCGATCTTTGAGATTATAGAGATCAAGTTGTCTGCAATCTTTGAGACTATAGAGATCAAGTTGTCTGCGAATTTTGAGATTATAGAGATCAAGTTGTCTGCAAATTTTGAGATTATAGAGATCAAGTGGTCTGCAATCTTTGAGACTATAGAGATCAAGTTGTCTGCGAATTTTGAGATTATAGAGATCAAGTTGTCTGCGAATTTTGAGATTATAGAGATCAGGTTGTCTGCAATCTTTGAGATTATAGAGTTCAAGTTGTCTGCGATCTTTGAGATTATAGAGATCAAGTTGTCTGCAATCTTTGAGACTATAGAGATCAAGTTGTCTGCGAATTTTGAGATTATAGAGATCAAGTTGTCTGCAATCTTTGAGATTATAGAGATCAAGTTGTCTGCAATCTTTGAGATTATAGAGTTCAAGTTGTCTGCAATCTTTGAGATTATAGAGTTCAAGTTGTCTGCAATCTTTGAGACTATAGAGTTCAAGTTGTCTGCAATCTTTGAGACTATAGAGATCAAGTTGTCTGCGAATTTTGAGATTATAGAGATCAAGTTGTCTGCAAATTTTGAGATTATAGAGATCAAGTGGTCTGCAATCTTTGAGACTATAGAGATCAAGTTGTCTGCGAATTTTGAGATTATAGAGATCAAGTTGTCTGCAATCTTTGAGATTATAGAGTTCAAGTTGTCTGCGATCTTTGAGATTATAGAGATCAAGTTGTCTGCAATCTTTGAGACTATAGAGATCAAGTTGTTTGCGAATTTTGAGATTATAGAGTTCAAGTTGTCTGCAATCTTTGAGATTATAGAGATCAAGTTGTCTGCAATCTTTGAGATTATAGAGTTCAAATTGTCTGCAATCTTTGAGATTATAGAGTTCAAGTTGTCTGCAATCTTTGAGACTATAGAGTTCAAGTTGTCTGCGATCTTTGAGATTATAGAGTTCAAGTTGTCTGCAATCTTTGAGATTATAGAGTTCAAGTTGTCTGCAATCTTTGAGATTATAGAGATCAAGTTGTCTGCAATCTTTGAGACTATAGAGATCAAGTTGTTTGCTAATTTTGAGATTATAGAGATTAAGTTGTCTGCAATCTTTGAGACTATAGAGTTCAAGTTGTC